ACTTGATTTCAAACCCCAAAACCCAAAAAAAAAAAAAAAAAAAAAAAAAAACAGATAAACCCAGCATGAGGGAGTGGTAGCGGTTGGAATAAACGAGAGGATTCCCTAGGACTTGCTGGCTTTCCAGCTAGCCAAAACAGTAAGTTCTGGGTTCACTAAGAGACATTGTCTCAAATACAAGATACAGAATGCTAGTAGGTGATGCTTAATGTTGACCTCTAGCCTGCACACACAAACATACCACACACAGAAAAATAAAATAAAACAGCAAAACAGATAAACCCAGCATGAGGGAGTGGTAGCGGTTGGAATAAACGAGAGGATTCCCTAGGACTTGCTGGCTTTCCAGCTAGCCAAAACAGTAAGTTCTGGGTTCACTAAGAGACATTGTCTCAAATACAAGATACAGAATGCTAGTAGGTGATGCTTAATGTTGACCTCTAGCCTGCACACACAAACATACCACACACAGAAAAATAAAATAAAACAGCTTTCTCCACAGCAGATGCCCTTGGGTGTGTTTATGTGGATACTGCTTCAAGTTCTGTGCCTGTTCTGAAAGATGGACATCTACATACCCCTTCACAGGCAGACCTCATTGTTACAGGCTTTCCAGTCTTGTTCTTCAAAGTCCCTGACCATTCAGAATCAAAACATTAGTACCTGCCAATGGATCTGTTTAGATCAGTAATAGGGACCATCTGTTAATGTAGATGGACAGTCAAAGAAAAAAATTAATGTCATATAGAAAACTAGAACATATTATATATATATGGATGAAATGATAAAAGACAAAAATTAATGAAAGTTACATTTTTAAGTACAGGATGGACAATCAAATGCATTGCCCCAAGTTCCATTTCCTTTAACCATCCTTTATCAACTTCCCTTAGGTCAATAATCCTTGGTAGTATGTATAGGCAAGCATAACAAGTGCCTTCCTTTTCTCTGTCAGTTTCACAAGAGTTAATTTATGCATGTAGGAATAAAAATGGGAGTCAAG